GACCGAGGTGTTCCGGTGCCTGTTCCGGCTGTCACAATAGAGGTCAACAGACCTACTAATGGGGCGCTGAACGTGGGAACGTTGCATTGACCGTGGGAGTCGTGCGCTTATAAAGTATGTACAGATTGCTAAACAGTGCTTGCGCACTTTTAGCAATCCTGTCAACACCAGTCATCCCATGATGACCTGGGTCGTCCCAATGGGTGTTGGCAGTGTCTATGGGTGGTCCCCAATGCGTGGGAACCGGGCGCTTGGTATAGCGCAACTTTGTTATACATTTGTACAACAAGTGTGCACATCACTTCAACACGAAGGTCTCATTGATTTGGGAGTCAGGATTAGCAAGGCAATGGCTAATATCCAAAATCTGCGTCCAACAGGCTTTACCATTGAGCAGTTAGACGAAGAGCTACAGTGCATGGCATTGATTCGGGCTTTGCCTGATGAATACAAGCACTTGTCAGCTTCTTTGTTGCTAATGGAAAAGCTGGACAAAGACACTATACTCCAAGCATTCCGAAGCGAAGAGCTTAATCGTCAGTGCCAGACTGAGCAAGCGAATAGAGCCAGTCACAAGGGTTATGGAAAGAAGGGTGGGGCATACAATGGAAAGGGCAGAGGTCACCCCACAGTTGATGCAGACACCTGCTCATTCTGCAAGGGCAAGGGTCATTGGAAGAGGGACTGCGAAGCATTGAAGAAGGTCATTGCTAGCAGCAAAGAAAGTGGATCTGGGGGGAGCAATGCCAAAGTGGCAGTGGAAAAGGCAGATGCTGCGACGGAGTTTGCTGGTCAGGCAAGTGCTCGTTCTATGGACGAAGCTTGTGCTGCATTTTCTAATGATACCCATTGGAATACAGATACAGGGGCCACTTCTCATATGACACCTCACAAAGAATGGATTCGCAATTATACCACATATAGAGTGCTAATCAGGCTAGCGGATCACACCATTGTATATAGTGAGGGCGTCGGAAATGTGCTCTTCAGACCTGTAGTTAATGGTAGACAAGTTAGAGATGTGGAGATCACTAGAGTACTCTATGTTCCTGCATTGTGCAATAATCTGCTTGCTGTTTTGTATTTGACTCGCAATAAAGGCTTTAATGTTCATATCACAAAGGAGAAAATGGAGTTTGTCCGTAATGATGTTCTTTTGTTCTGTGCTACAATCAACAATGCTGGTATAGGCTATTTAGATGGTAGTACAGTAGACACAAATGAATTTGTTCATGTTGCGTCCACTCTGCCTTTGGATCTGACTCTATGGCATAGACGGCTTGGCCACCAACACCATGACGGAATTAAGCAGATGATTAAGGATGAAATGGTGGTTGGACTGACACTGGACTCTTCTGCAAAGCCAGATCCTGTTTGTATTCCCTGTCTAACTGGGAAGATGCATGCAAATCCATTTCCTTCGTCATCCAACAGAGCTGATGAGCTATTGGCATTGGTACACTCTGATGTTCACTATGTTGGAATTGATTCACACTCTGGTCAGAAGTATTGGGTCACATTCATTGATGACTACTCCAAGCTGAAGGTGGTGGTTCCCCTGAAGCTGAAGAGCGAAGTCTTTGCTGCATTTAAGCGGTTCAAAGCATGGGCTGAGAACCAGACTGGCAAGCATATCAAAGTCTTCAGATGCGACCAGGGTGGTGAATTCATGAGCAAAGAGTTTGACAAGTATTTGGAGGAGCATGGAATAGAAAGGCAGTTCTCAGTGCGAAACAGACCACAGCAGAATGGAGTGGCTGAGCGTGCAAACAGACTGCTTAGTGAACGGATCACTGCAATGCTGGATGAGGCTGGACTGTCAAAGGCCTTTTGGGCTGAGTGTTTGGCTGCACTTGTTCATGTCTTGAACCGGTGCATTACATCTTCAGTAGCTCATGCTACGCCATATGAGGTGTGGCACAGACGAAAACCTGATGTTGGGCATTTGCGGGTATGGGGATGTGTTGCTTATGTGCATGTCCAGAAGGACAAGAGGGAGCATTTGGGTTCGCACATGGAGAAGTGCATATTCATTGGGTATCCTGATGGGTACAAGGGTTGGAAGTTTTACAATCCAAAGACGAAGAAGGTCATCATCTGTGAACGCGCAGACTTTGATGAGCGCTACACTTACAGTGGCCAACTTCTGAAAGGCATTGATGAGCACGACCTCTCAGAACCAGCTCCTCCGAAAACCAGTCAGCAGAGCGCACCAGAGGCACCATCCAAGGATAACAATGATGCTCAGCAAAGGGTTATAGACTTGCCTGCAGCTGATAATGACGATGAGGACAATAGCAGTGAGGATGACACTGATGATGATGATAATGTGAAAGAAGAAGAACAGGTGGAGGGTGAAGCGCAACAGGAGACACCAGAGCCAGAGGAGATACCCCCACCTCGTCCTCGTCGCAGAAGAGCTGCACCTCGTGTGGATGACAGTGATGATGAAGCTGAAGTCGATGATAGACCTGTGGCTGTTAGAAGACCAAAACGCGACATCAGACCTCCAGGGGAATGGTGGAAGGTTCCTGCTGCACCTCCAAAGGCCAGGGAGGCAACTCCGGACGTCTGGGAAATGCGAGATCCAACTCCTGCTTTAGATGATGATGATTCTCAGTCTGAAGAAGAAGCTTTGGAGGCTAGTCCTGTTGGCAAGTTAGTAGAGCCAGAGACTTATGCTCAGGCAATGAGGTCGCCTCACGCTGCACAATGGCATGAGGCTGCACTAGCTGAATACAATATGCTGCTTGCTAATGGGACTTGGACACTGGAACCTTTGCCAGAAGGAAAAGTGGCAATTGGAGTCAGATGGGTCTTTCGGGTCAAGTATCATGCAGACGGAAGCATTGAACGGTTCAAGGGTCGGATTGTTGCTAAAGGATTTAGTCAACGACCCGGATTTGACTATAATGAGACCTTTGCTTCGCCATCTAGACACGCTACCATCAGGACTGTACTTGCTCTAGCTGCTAGAGATGATCTGCACTTGCGCTCAGTTGACATTTCACAGGCATTTATAAACAGTGATATTGATGCTGAGGTGTATATGGAGCAGCCTGAGGGGTTTAAGCAAGGTGTAACCAAGGGTCAAGGAAGGATAGTCTGCAAATTGAACAAGTCTCTGTATGGACTAAAGCAGTCACCTCGGTTGTGGAGTGAGAAGCTGGGTGAAGCACTACATTCAATGGGCTTCAAGAAGATCTACTCTGACCCCTCGCTCTACATCTATGATGATGGCACTGTCAGAATCATAGTCCCAGTGTGGGTGGATGATATCACTCTTGCTTCAAAATCAAAGGAGGCTCTTGACAAGTTTGTGATTGAGCTGGAAAGGCATTTCAAGTTGCGGGACTTGGGGGAGACTTCGTATCTGCTGGGCATGGAAATAACACGAGACTGGGACAACCACAAACTCTACATCTCGCAGCGTCAGTACATTGTCAACAAGCTTGCACAGTTCAATATGTCTGATTGCAAACCAGTGGGGACTCCCATGGCTCCAGGTATGAAGTTGACCACAGATTATTGTCCCAAGACATATGAAGAGGCACAAGAGATGGTGGATATCCCCTACATGAGTGCTGTTGGCTCCTTATTGTACTTGGCTACAATGTCCCGGCCTGATATAGCCTTTGCTGCGAGTGCATTGGCTAGGTTCAACTCGAACCCAGGCATGATCCACTGGAAGGCTGTAAAGCATTTGCTGCGCTATGTGAAGGGCACGATGGATATGAAGTTGGTTTATGGACCAGATCCCGCCGTAGGAGATGAAATCTTCGTCACGTACAGTGATGCAGACTACGGCGGTGATAAAGGGACAGGGCGGTCTACAAGTGGTTACTTGGTTAAGATTGGGCTGGGAGCGGTCTGCTGGAGCAGTAAAGCGCAACAGATGGTTGTTCTATCAACCACTGAAGCCGAGTATGTTGCTGGGGTTGCTGCTGGTAAAGAAATATGCTGGATGAAGAACCTCCTCTCGGAAATTGGTTACAAGCCAACTGCACCATCCACACTCTACATGGACAACCAGTCAGCGATTAGAGTGGCAAAGAACCCCGAACACCATGGCAGAATGAAGCAACTGGACTTGAGCTTCTTTTGGTTACGCGATCAAGTTGATTGCAAGCGCATCCAGCCAGTCTATCTTCAAACAGAGGAAATGCCGGCAGACCTGCTCACCAAAGCACTGGCCAAACCACAAGTGGAAAAGTTGAGGGAGATGATGGGATTGGTGGGATAGGAGGACGTATTGGGCCAGGGGGTTGTTTGTGGGTGCCCCAATACGTGGGTCCACCAAGTGTTGCATCAGGGGGTTGTGTTGAAGTGATGTGCACACTTGTTGTACAAATGTATAACAAAGTTGCGCTACATAAGCGCCCGGTTCCCACGCATTGGGGACCACCCATAGACACTGCCAACACCCATGGGAACGACCCAGGTCATCATGGGATGACTGGTGTTGACAGCATTGCTAAAAGTGCGCAAGCACTGTTTAGCAATCTGTACATACATTACAAGCGCACGACTCCCACGGTCAATGCAACGTTCCCACGTTCAACGCCCCATTAGTAGGTCTGTTGACCTCTATTGTGACCGCCGGAACAGGCACCGGAACGCCTCGGTCTCAGCAGGGAAGCAAAAGCAGCAAAAATGAAACATGGAGCCATCATTAGAATGATGTCTGGCATGTCCCCAAGCTGCTCCGGAGCTAATCAAATTCGGACGCGATTTAGTGGACACCTATATTCACGCCTCGCGCAGAACAGTATCCGTGGGAACCTGAGATGGTCATTTTCCATACATGTCTAGAGTAATAGACACAAAGAGTCAATAGAGCGCAAATCATTACATATTATTGATTGATTGCATCAACATCATTAGTGATTGTTACCAAGGCAATTAGAGTGCATTAGGACGCTTCTACAAGCTTCTGATCAAACTATAATAGCCTATAGTTTAACAAATATCTGGTTGATCTAGAAGCATGCTATCCTCATTCAGAAGGCGACATGGTCCTTATGAACCCAAAATGAGACAAATACCTTCCGTTCAACCTGAATTCTATCTTCATACAGCCTACGATTGAACCATATGATGACCTTAACAAAATGGCCATTGGCGGTTTGGGAATAAAATCCCAATACGGCGCCAAAACCATAATGGCGTGGTTCGAATACGAGGCTATCTAGAGATAGCAGGGAGTTAGTGGGGATGGCGAGTAGTTCTCCCTCAAAGGGATCGAGGATATCTTCCATGTCGATGATTGTGATGGCGGAGCGGGAGTGGAAAATCTGTATCTCGGTGCAGAATGCAAGTGTCTTGCGTTCTAAACGACATCCCCTTCCAAGAGCTTCTTGGAAGTTAGGAGATGGTACACCGTCCAGGAAAATAATTCCTGGGTGCCCGGCTACGAGGAAGGATGTGAAGGGCGTGATAACGATTTCATTTGCATGCCAAAAAATGTCCATTAGGACATCGCCTACAAGGCTAGGTATAGCACCTTCTATTTCGTATGTCGGTGTGGTTGGTCGTTGATTTATAGGAATAAAGGTGGATACAAGTGCTATGTTGATCTTCGGCTGCTGCGCTAGTGCTTCCTCAACTTCTTTTGTCCATCCAACCAAAGTATCCACAGGCGAGGATAGTGCGTTAGCGGAGGATGACATGTTAATCGAAGACGAGGACATTTTTATAAGGAGCAAGGCGATGTCGAGCAATGACAATGTTAGGGATGGCGGTCTTTATGAAAGAAACTACTTGGCTATTGACGTCTCCAACTTATTTCAGGGTCATTTATTTCTGGAATTTTTTGAGGGTTTCCTCCTTTTTTGGCCTGTTGCGCTTTGCATCCTTTTTAGGAATTCCTATCTCCGGATGTAAGTATTTCGGTTGATGGTCATTGTATTGACATGCAAGTGAAGCGGCTGCGCGGGGAACTTGAATTCCAACTCAGTCACCCTTTCTTTAAGACAAATACTAAGGGATGTGTCTCGTTTAATTGAACTGGTCTAGAAAATCTTGTACATCCAGTCCATTACTCGCTTCTTTGTAGCCTGCACCCATTCCTTAACTACAATCTTCCAACCGTCTTTTACTAGCCACATATCTACCCACAGGAAACGTTCAGCCTCAAACAAGCCAGTTTCCCGGCTATACCAGTGGACAAGTATTTTAAAGTCCTGCCCCGTATGACCTATGATCTGGATGACCCATCTGATCTGAGTTTCCGTTGTCAAGCAAGCTTGCTTGTAAATGCGGGTGGTGGTGGATGTGATGGGGTGCTGATGCCCTTGAGGCAGCAAGGCAAAGTTGAAATGATACATGGTGCTAATGGTAACCGATGGCGGCTCGGTATTTCCATATTGAATGGAAGGCATATAGCTTTTGGCAGTATTGCGTGGTTGAGTTGGAGAGTAAATGGGAGATGGGTAAGCGATTAACGGATATGATACAGAATCATAACTGCTATTGAGAGGCATATTATCAATAAAAGCATAGTGATTAAGGGCTTTTTTAATGGAAGGGCCTTGACCTTTCGACAGCCAGTCCTTGCTTGGTGGTAGGAAGGGAAGTAATAGAGGGAGAGAGGGGCGATAAGCTCGACATGGTGGAATGATAATCTTTTTCGACAATGGTGGTGGTTAGGAAAGATGTCCTTTCTCATTTGTTTTCCATAAGCAAGTCTCCTTCCAGCCAATCTTCCTGTTCAGTATCTCCTGGGAATTCTTCTTCGTCTAGACTTTCCTGGAATTCCAAAAGAGGATCCTCATGGCTAAGGTACTTAATAATTCCAAAGGCGGCATAGGCATCACTATGTACTGCTCCATCCAGTTCTTTTATCACATAAGTCCCATTATTAGTTTGGCGCACTACCTCATAAGGTCCTAGATAGCGTGGCCATGTCTTGAAGTGTGTCAAGTGATCTTCCAGTCGGGTATTTCTGACCAGAACCAATTCACCTGGTTCATAGGATTCCTTTTGGATTCGGTGATGGTATCGCTTCATAAACTGGTCCCATGAAGCATATCTTGCTTTCCTAAGTGTCTCAGCAGCAGCTGCTATGTCTTCTTCTCGCTTTTCTAGCTGCCTAAGGCGTAATGCCAGCAATTCTGAGCTTGACATATTTTTCCTGAATCCTGTTACTAAAAAGCTTGCCTCAACATAGTCCAGGGGTAATACAGGGTGTACACCATGTAACAAATAATAAGGTGAGTATCCTGTAACAGAGTTCACGGTTACACGATCAGCAAATAAGGCGGCATGAAGATGCTTATGCCAATTGATAACTTCTCCCGTTGGTGTCTTCTTGCAGCTCTTGACTATGGCTTCTCATAGGATAAAATGTCCTCTTTCTACGACTCCATTGGCATGTTTATTATAGCTTGATATGCAAACTTGAGGGATTCCTAGACGTTTAACTAGGTCACTAAATGCAGCGGCTACTTCTCCTCCATTGTCTGTCACTACATGTCCTACTGTGCCATAACAACAATAAATGTGTTGCCAAAAGAATTCAGCCAATACATGAGAGTTTGCAGCACTGATGGCCTTGGCTTCAGTTATTCCCATTAGATCATCTTTTGCAGCCACAATAAATTTGAAACCGCCTGAGTGTGGATTCATGGTCATTACATCAATATAGACCTTCTGGAAAAGAGTTGCGGGGGCTGATATCTCGTATGGCATTTGTAGGATTTTGGTATTCCGAGTTTGGCATTCATGACATGTGGAGACATGATAGTGAACGTCAGGTCGAAGGTGCGGCCAGTAATATCTGATTCTAATAAGATCAAATACGGCCTGTTCTCTCTTATGGCATAGGTTTTCATGGGATTCTTGCAGTATTCTCTTTCTCCTATTTGGGTCCAGGATTACTCGCTGCGGAGGTTGATTCGCTATTCTTCTGAACATTTTTCCGTCATGAAGGAAGTATCCTGAGGCCTTCTTAAGGAGCCTCTTTTGGGCTTGAAGGGAGACTAAGGGTGGCAGTTTGGAAGTGTGCAAATATTGGGAGATTTCTGGTAGTTGCTCATCCTTATATGTCACTTTTGGTTGTAAGGAGGGTAAGGTGAGGACTTTGGCGGGGGTCATGGTGAAGGTTCTATTAGCTTGAAGTCGGGTTGGAGGTATTGAAATGCTATATTGTCTAGCCATTCTTCATCATCCTCGATAAAGTCTTCAGATAGGGGTCTTCTCCTAGACAGGGCATCTGGGCCACGATGTTTGTCTGCTGGAATGTGAACCAGTTCAAAATCAAACAGAAGAATACCTTGAATCCACCGATTCATTGCATTGTTTGGTTGAAGGTCTGGTTCTTTCAACATTCCTTTAATATACTTTGCATCTACCTCCACTATCAGCTTTTTGGCTCCGATTATGTATATTCTCCAATGTTGCAAGGCTCGGTATAACCCGTATAATTCCAGTTTGGGTTGGAAGTATCTTGATTCTCTATCTCCCATTGGCAATGATCTGTATCTTGCGGGCCATTTCCTTCCTTGATTGTCCATTTGGGATAATATAAATCCTACTGCTATATAACTTGTATCCACTGATAAAATGATTGGATTACTGGATTTGTAGTCAATGGTCCATAGGGCTGGTGCAGATGTAACTCGCAATTTTAGCTCTTCAAAAGCTTCCTGTTGCCGGTCCGTCCACACGAAGTCAGTGTCTTTTCGGACTAACTCTGTAAGAGGTCTGGCTAATCTTGAATAATCCTTTATCCATATTCGGACTGTTCCACAGATTCCTAGGAATCCACGGATCTCCTTGACATTCTCGGGGGTAGGTCATTTCAGAATTTTTGCAACTCTTTCTTCATCGGGGCATCTTCCTGCAGGAGTGCATTTTTGTCCTAGAATTACAACATTTGGTCAGCAAATTTGGGTCTTCTTTCCTGAGAATGTGGCTCCTGCACACTTGACACAATGCATTATTCTGTGTACATCCACTGCGTGTTCCCAAATAAAACAGTGTATTCCTTTATTGTCAGGAATTGTTTCGGGCTTTCCTTCAGTGTCTAAGTATTGTGATTCCGGTCCCTTTACTGGAAGATCATCAATAAAGATGTTGGCGATATGCGGAATTTTGTCTTGAAGAATATGCACCATACATTTCTGGAATTCTGTAGGTGAGTTGGTATAGCCCATAGGTAGCGCAGTTAGTCGTAACATTCCTAGTGGTGTCCAAAATGCCATCATATCCCTGGATGCAGGGTCTACTATGTGGGCGTCAAATCCCCAAAATAGATCAAATGTAGTACAGCATTGGCGTCCTGCAAAGGGTTCTACAAAATCGTCTACTATGGGTAGCAGTCCAGCATCACGTATAGAGACTTTATTCAGAGGCTGTAGATCATGTGTAAGGGCAACCTCAAGATGGCCAACAGTGCAGGCCTAGCAGAGGGAGAATCCAAAGATAATGAATAAGACTAACTACAATACATGAGAGGGCTGCTCACCTAGCAGAGGGAGAATCCAAAGAGAACAGGATAAGGATTCTCCATGCTAGGAAGCGAAGTATATACTGTAGTAGCATGAGAGGAATGCAGGATAACTGTACAGTACACCAGCCACAAGTCCGAGCGAATATCACAAGGTACAAGGAAACATGTGATAATGAAGTGGAGGGTAAATGCACAGGAGTCGTGCCAGCGACTTGGGGAAGTAAGGGCGAAGAGTAATGAAGTGGGGGAAAAGGATAGAGGTAACCCGGACGAGCCCTGAAGAGTATAGACGAGTCCGAGCGAGTCCGAAGTGTCCGAAACAAGTCCGAGCGAGTCCGAAGTGTCCGAAGTGCGGGAAGACTCCGGAGTCACCGGATGCGGCTCGGATGCGAAAGGAGTGGGTGGAAAGGAAGTGGAAAGGAAAGGGAGCGAAAAGGAACAAAGGGGAATGAAGGGAATGTAGGTAAGAGTCCATGGGATGAAGGAAAGGAGAGAAAATAGGAGTGTCCCCTTACATCATGTACAATTCGTTTCTTCTTTAACACACAGAACCACCGGTTTCAATAGGATGATTGACAGAGTTCATAAACACCTGTGTCTATTTTGCTCCGAAGCATCTCTATGACTTTATCTTTGATTCCTGGCGGTATAGGAATGTTCTTGTATTCACATGGTGTGTGTGGAATTGTTGCCATAATGTAATCGGAAAAGTACTCCTTCTTTAGTGTTCCCCGATCTTGTTCTTCAAAGGCTAGAGCATCTTCATTGAGTCGGAGAATGTGTTTGAATAGTTTTTCTTCGTCTGGCCATAAGAAATTGTCCTTATTGACTTCCATCATAGATATTCTTTCCTCCGTAAGTCGTTCTGTAGGTATAAAGTCTGGCAGTTGGGTGAGTAACTCTGGAAGAGAGTCTAAGGGATTGGTAGGGAAGGTACCGTTGACTTTGGCATCTTCAGGGTATACTCCTGATACCAGATGTATCTTTTGGCCGACTCGTTTATATGCAGTATATGCCTTGAAATTCCAGTCATGAAACTCGCCGGGAGCCTCTACTGGCATTAATAAGGTATCTTCTTCCCAATTTATGTTGGAGGGCTGGGTATATAATTTTTGAATTTCAGAGTCTAGTTGGTGTAGGAGGTAAACTCCAGATAAATTGTCCTGCATCCTTAAGTTTTAAAATGCAAGGGTAGATTGTCCTGCAATCTTTTCCTAGGTAGTGAAAGCTTATAGTTTT